CTTTGTGATTAGATAAGCTGCTTACCTGGCCATAGTCCGTTATGAGCGAAGCTGTTAAAAGATCCCAAAGCGCCACATGCCCGCGGTCGTCCAGCGACAGTACTTTGCACTTGGCATTGAGGAGTTGATATTTGATGATACCTGAAGTCCCCTCAATAACATACTGGGCATTCGCCATAAGAAGATTAATACGTGGAAGAGGTTAGCGAATAGACTGACTGTTGTATGCAAGGGTTTAGGGTTTTAGGGTTGTAGGGCTTTAAAATCCCTAAAAACCCAGCACTAAGTGTGCAGCCTGTGGTATAAAACGGTGCCAAACAATCTCCTCTCCTCGAACACACACACACACTGCATGGTTGGCGTGAGCGTGGGAGCATATCGATACAACCAAACAATCAGACACACCCTGCCCCCCCCCCCTGCCCCCCCATACTCACACCTTAGGTGCAGCAATGACCGGAACCATCACATCGAGGTGTAGGCCGTCCTCCATATTACCAACCTTTCCGGTGGTGTTGGTGCTCAGAGTGTGTGTGTGCGTGTGCGTGTGCGTGTGCGTGTGCGTGTGCGTGTGTGTGTGAGTGTCATCGGGAGAGGTGTTGTCTGTGTTATACTGCGGTGTGTGTGACACTGTCGGTCGATCGCCGAACATGGAGGGCCGCGGTTTGAGGGGGTCCTTCTCGTCCTCTTCTTGACTGAGATTATATGAAATGAAGGTTGTTTAATTGTTAAAATGTGTGTCTAATTTGTTGATAAGGTTGTTTAATTGTTAAAATGTTGGTTTACTTTGATAATAAGGTTGTGCAATTGTTGATATGGTTAATGAACTGTTAGAAATGTTTTGTTTAAGTTAATAGTGTTGTTTAACTGTTAAACTGTTTGTTTCATTTGTTGATAAGGTGGTAATTGTTAATAAGGTTGTTTAATTGTTCGTACGGTTAATTGACTGTTAACAAGGTTGTTTGATCGGTAAAACGGTTATTTGACTGTTAACAGGGTTGTTTAGTTGTTAAAACGGTTCCGTGATTGATAACAAGGTTGTTTGATTTTTCATACAAAGTTGTTTCGTTCATAGAGTTTTGAAGCAACAGAATGAGGTTCAGATCTTGAAGCTACTAGGCGGTCAATGAAAAGGGCGTACTTACAGATCGAGCGAGTTCGCGTGCCATGTACAATACACTACACCTTCGCGCAAACGTGCCATCTGTTATATGAATATACGATACACACATACACACATACACACACACATATATAT